AATACCTTTTCTTTCTGAAAAAAAGGTTAGCGTCAGTCAAGGACAGGGAAGTAATGCATCAAATATTATATAAATGTTGTGAAAATTGTGTCGTTTGCAGCTCATGTGAATTTATGAAAGGCTGATCTGATGCATTTTAACAGATCACTTTTTAAAGTTGCAAAGTACAACTACTGGCTCACTCTCTGTGTAAACTCAGTTGTTGCTAGCTTAGCCTAGCTTGATTAGCTAGTGATTATCATACAGGCCCGTTAATACTATGTTGTTGTTGAGAAACACCGAAACCAAAACAAAGGTTATAATCATTTTAAAAATAGATATTTAATTTGACACATATATAATAAAAATAAAAATAAAAATAAAAATAAAAATAAAAATAACAATAAAAATAAAAATAATATAATTTTTATATTATAAAATAAAATTTTTATCTATTATTATGATACTATGAACTATATGTGACAGTGATTATTATATTTTTAATTATCCTCAAAATATTTATTTTTTTTATTTAATTGTAAAATTCTGTTGCGTTCGCGCTCGTTTTTTACGTATTTCATTTAAATTTTTGGTGTTTCTAAAACCCATTGCTGTCTCTTAACGCTGCCATGAGCTGACCTGATTTATTATTTTGTACTTATGTAAGAGCAGGTGCCAAATTTTTATATATATGTAAACTATACTTTTTTTTGCTATTTTTACAAGACACAACATTTGCCCCAGAGAGTGTTGATGGAAGTTTTAGGTTAAAGAGGTCAAGGCAGAAAATTAAAAATGAAGATTTTCTAATGTACTTGAACTTTTCTGCCTAACAAAAAAGGAAGGAAAAACATGGGCTTATTGTTATTTATATAGGTAATTAGGTTATGCTGCGTCTTCTGCTGCGCCGACCGACTGACTGACCGACCTCTTAAAACAACATCTCGGTTAATTGGATGCAAAGTAGATGCGAGATGCGCTAAGGCTACTGCCTCTTACTCATCGTAACGAACCAAGTTGTTCCCCGATCGCCGTACTCGCTCCCTGAAGCAATTACAGCAGATATGAAAATGGAGAAAATGGCTGCTAAACTGGTGTGTTTTCCTGTACGTATGCTTCGTTTATTTTACCTGTTGTTCAGGTCATGAATATTCAATACGCGAGCGTGCGCATGAAGGTTCCATATGAAGTACGTTACATCTTTGAGTGACAAGGACTGAACAACTCGTCTTCCAAACCTTGTCTTTTCTAAATTCCTCGTGGACCCCGTCTGGCTGCTTACAGCAAAACAATTGAAAATCCCACCTGATAATTCCTCTTGTCACGTTGACAGCTGTCATCACGTCGGCCGTAATCACAGTTTAGTTTTCTTTTCAAATTAGCGAGTGGTTATTCTCACGGTGCTCTCTGTTTTTTTTTTTTTTGCTCTCTCCTGAAAACGAAAAAAAAAAAAAAAAATCCCCCCCCTCGGGAAGAACAAGCCAAACATGGAAGGAGTTTTTGTTCACGTGGCGGAGAATTGACAACAAGGCAACTTGATTTGACTTTTCCTTCACTTTGCTGCCGCAATTATCGAGGTTCAGAGGGTTCGGTTGTGGATTTGTCTGGCAGCTGCTCACGGCGTTTAATTTCTGTTTGTTGTACAGTGTGCTTGACACAAGCTGCCCCGCATCTGAATTCATCGGCTTTAATATCCAGGAAGCTTTCGATCTCATTGTTAAACACGGCGTGAAGTGCAAAACTGTAACTCTCGCAGACAGTTTTATTTTTGTGTCGCTCCCGTCTCACTTTGATAAGACGATTTCTCTTCTTTTTTTTTGTCTCATCTCAGTTCTGTTATCGCCTAAAGTACAGGTTGTGATTGCAATGTTTTTAGCATTAAAAGGAAAAATGCATGTTCGGTTTGTGAAAAAAATACTATTCAATCAATTGGGGAAAAAAAACCCCAGCAGTAACCCTAAGACCAGGCAAGGGCAAACTAAGGCCCGGGGGCCGGATGCGGCCCGTTCAGGTTATTAATCCGGCCCAAAGGGGGCTGTGGTGTTGAGTAAAGTGGACAAGGGCCTGAGACAATAAATGGTGAGTCGTTGGCCCTATGGTGGATCCTATCATTACACTTCTGCCTTTTCCCTGCAATACCCCTGTTTTTCCAATAGATGGTGTAGAAAATGATAAAAGTATTTTAGCATCTCAGCCTTTATGCATGATTTTTATCTTAGTTAACATCCATCGAGCGAGTCAAAACGTTTGCCAACGCCTGCCTTAATCTAGCGTCAAAACGTTTGCCAACGCCTGCCTTAGACAGTAGGGATGGCTCGATCCAATACCCGCGATACTTATCGGTAAGATATTGGTCAAAATTTCAGGTTTGAACATTTGAGAAAAACAACTTAAGGTTACTTGAGCCGATACCTGAGCTCCAATGCTAAACATAACTTTGCGCAAAATGCCGTAAATGCCGACCCTATCGCTTTAGATTGATATCGGTATCACCGACTATCACGCAATCAGTCCACCTGTGCAAGTGCGTCCGTCGACGTCGGGCCGTTCAGAACTAGCAGCGTGAAGCTAAGTGGGATCTACATGCGCTGCGTAGCGTGCCACACCGTGTGGTCATGGAACGGTTAGTGGGCAGAAACCAAGCTTTATTGGAAGTGAGACGAATGTGAAGCAGACCGCAGCGCAGGAGCAGGACCGACCTGAATTATTGAGATTCAGCCTGGCTGCCGATCACTGCTCCCACCGACCCCCACCGCACCCCCAACCCCGGTGCAGAAATCACAGTGTGAAGAGACTGGAAGGTAGAAATAAACACAGCGATGTCTCTCACCCACTAGTCCGTCTTACTTTTCTCCAGCTGCAGCTCGGTCTCTTTAAAACAACACGAAAGGAAACGGCAGCACTTTTTTTGACAAGTGTGCCTTGTTAGGTCTGCATCAGAAATTCTTAAAAAAAATAATAATACCAACACGCTCCGTTTAACAGTACAAAGAAAAACAAAAGGGAAATTTGTCCTTTTTGGTAATGAGCAAAGTGTATTTGATGATTTTTTTTGTGCACTTCCTGCATTAGTTAGAAAAGCTGAAGCAGGGTTTGTGAATCTGACAAACACGATAAGATGGCAGAATAACAACACCTCCACCCACTCTGTAACAGTTCCCGCTGTAGGTGTTCTCTTCACATTTGTTCCAGTGCGGCTAACAAAAGCACTGGAACCCTCCCTTTTCTCAACCCTTTTATAACAGACTCTGCGCACGGAGGCGACCGCCCTGCTGCAGTATTTGTTCACTTACTGTAAGTGCAAAGCACGTTATCTGTTTACAATAGACCTCAAGGCCCTCATGTGTCTGTGGCCAATACAACACAGGTGAGCCTCGGCTTATTCTTCACCCGGAGAAAGTTCATCTTTTCTTACCGAGTTCTCTTTTTTTTTTACGTTCCTGAACACAGCAACAATGTACGGATTCTTAACTTCAAAACAAAAACAAAAAATTTGAAAGAAAAGTCTTAAGTAGATGGTTCAAAAAAAAAAATTGAAAGAAAAGTCTTAAGTAGATGGTTAAAGAAGATTTTTTTTTTTAATAAACAATTATCTTTGGTTTCAATTTTAGCTTAAGATAACAAACGGTGGCCATGGTAATCATTACATCTCAGGATAACACAAATTTATTGCGCTGCATTTAGATTCAGATTGGACAAAGAAAATATATTTAAGGGAAAAAAAAAATCATCTGTCTGGTGCTGGAAAGGTCACCAGATTTTTTTTTTTTTTTTTTGTAGTAATTTATTTCAATTTTCTTTTTGGACAGAAAATGTCTTATTTTTTAATAATGATCAGAATTAGAATCAGGAAATACTTTATTGTTTCCCCCCAGGTACAGCTGCTTCTGCGACAGCATTGATATAGAAATTAAGGATTTAGAAACCCCCCCGGGTACAGCTGCTTTTGCTATTGATATAGAAATTAAGGATTTAGAAAAATATATGAATATATGTGTATTTATTTATATATATTTCACATGTTCACGTTTATATATGTGTATAAATATGTATATTTCATAATTCTTGTATTATTTAATACAATATATATGTATTATTGTTTCTAGAAATATAGATAATTGTTTATATTCTTTTTTTTTTTTTTTTTTTTTAAAGTGACACCATAAAGCTAAAACTCTGCATAGCTTTACTTGATTGATCGTTAACACGAATGCCTTGGAAATCTCTTCTCCTGTCTCTCAAGGTGATGGGATTTTGCACTTAATAAACATATAGCTACTATCCGGAAAGAGTTGTGGGATTATAAGTTACATAATAATATATTCGCGGTTGAGGTTTTAGCCTTACTTTTCATTCATCTTCGACCGTTTAATCCTCGACAGCGTCTGGAGCCAATCACTGATGTGACGTAAACAGAACGTTTGTCCTCTTAAAGTGTAACAAAAAAGGACTGACAGTGGTGTGTCAGTGTTACGGAACACTGGCTTAAAAAGGGAAGGCTGTGGCCCCGTGGAGGGCCTCTAGGGGGGCGCTAGAGAGACTTAGAAATGCCGTATCTGCCATAAACGTTGGATTCTCACGTTTCTGATAGCACCTGAACTCACCTCGGCATGGTCACGCCCAGTGTTGCCAAGTGTACAATAATTATTGTATTTGTACGATAATTTGGTCCTGTGTACGATGTGCGACCAATAACCTCAAAAAAAGGGCCAAATATACGATAATTTGTAATGGTCAAATTAATTAAATTTAGTGAATGTGTGGTTGTAATTAGCATTCCGCAACTGTTTGCCGGAGATTTTTTTTTTTAAACCCTGAATGGCTGAATTGTCTGCTGCGTCACTAGACCCTCTAGTATTCGATTGACGGAAGTTCAAAAATGACATAATACCTGTGGAGAACATCGGAAAAGGAAAAGTGTTAGCCATGAAGCTAACACACATTCGCTATTAACTCGACACTGTAAACGTCGACAACTTTTTTTTCCAACGTTTTCAACTTTTGAACGAGAACCGTGATAACCTGGCTATGACGTTATTCCCAGCTCCGACTTCCGGAAATGGAACCAAGTTCACCGCGTTGGAAATGTTTGTTTTCCGGTAATGTACAGTAGAGTGACTATAGCACATTAATACATTTATTATTTTGGTGGTGACTGGGGTACGATAATTTCCCTTTACCAATTGGCAACACTGACTGCTTTTATATGTCAATCAAATAATCAATTGTACAAACATGCATTAGTCTGTATTGGAGTGGTTACATCTATACCAGCCGTCCCCAACCTTTTTAGTTCCAAGGACTGGTCAGCCAGTACCACATGTTACTGCAGACCGGTACCAAGCTGCTGAGGATTGAAGGATCATTACATTTTCAAAATAAACATCTTTTATCCTCTATTCTGTTTGTATCAGAATCTGAATGACATTATTTTAAAAAATATTGCCAGATTATTGTTACATTAAAAAAAAAGAATGAATAGATTTAACAGGATTTTATTTAAATTAAGTAAATTAGTAAAAATTAGGTACATTTTTTTTCACTGTGTCCTACTTATGGACTGGTACCAAATGACCTATGGACTGGTCCTGGTCCGTGGACCAAGGGTTGGGGACCCCTGATCTGTACAATCTTCCCCTTTAAGGGGAAGTGTATTGCTAACGGTGAAAATGAGTTTGACACCCCTGTTGTAGACTATCTGTCATGCCGCTGTTGTGATTATCAAGCTAGCGTGTAGCAAGCTAGCGCAAAATGGACAGGTGTTTGACAGCGCTGAAAACAAGTTGATGTTTCTGTTCATATTTTATGGCACTGTCTGTGACTAGAAGCTAATGCTGTTTGGGGGCAGGGGTTCTTAGCATGTCAAAAGTTTTTTGGAATAGAGCACCAACTCTTACAGAAGATCTGTCGACATAGAGCTCTTTGATTTGATGATGGGATCGACATAACATCCCTGTGACAGGTCGTATCTTTGTTTGTACAACGGTGCTTTGTGTAGTGCTAAAACATCATCACCTCTAAAATTTGACTCCACAGTGATCTATGACACACACACACACACGCCAGATATATATTTTCAAGTCCAGAGAGTGGACTGACAATGGCACAGGGATCAGATCTATAAGTAGGGCTGAATTACAGCTCCATAATACTGTTGAGTCAGAGAAAAGGGGGAAGTCTGATCCTCCACTGTGGAATGCATTAGCTGCTGTTTTTTTTTCCCTTCACCAACGCTTTAGTGATGCCTTATTTACGCTAAAATCAAATGCCAGTTTGAGTGGTATTGACATTGTTGATCCCCGTTGCATCATAAAAGGCTGCTGTTATTTGCCCGGCTCTCTCCGCTACATCTGCTAATGTGTCTTTTATGTGTTTCACTGAAACACGCAATAGGTCTGTTTAACCACACTGTGAACGCCGTTCACTTTTCCCATCGCCCTCGTCACCTGGCACGGGATTAATATTTCAAAACCTCCTCGTTCGTTCTGAAAACTAGGTCATCAGAACCGGGTGCACGCCGGAGCAGGTTCTGGTTGTGAATAAAATGACATATGAAGGCTGAAGTTAGACAGGAGGTGGTGAGGAAGAGCGCTCACTATTCCTTGGAAAGACAAGGCGATTGTTCTCTGTGATTTTGATTTTTTTTTTTTTGTGGATAGAGACGTTTATAAGTTCCGCTGTCTGTCGTGTCGGAAAAGTTTACCTTGGGCTGTGAAACGAAGAGACAGGCAGGGCAACGACGAGGAGAAGTACAGGGAATAAATAGACTTGTTGATGGAGCTGTAAACTCATACTATTTGTAGTGCCGGTGCTATGACTGACTGTTAGTATTGACGTCAGGCACAGGTGTTGATTCTCTGTTAAAGGTGGCAGGTCAGAAGGAAGAAGTGAAGGAGAACTCCAAGGAAAAAAAAATCCATGATCCTAAAATCCAGGGGTCTTTGCTCACCAAGGTCAAAGTCTGTCTCAGACCTCTAAATTTCAAAAACTTTCTTAAAAAAAAAAAAAAAAAAATTTGTTTTTACAGCTTAGCCATCCTGGTTTAAGTCGTTGTATTTGTTGTCTCACAGCATTTTTTTTTTCCCAATACAATGAATTTATTGTTGTCTGGGGGGGGGGAATCAGTGTTTTGAAGCTTTTGAGGGAAATACGTTGTTTTTATAATTGTATAAAAGAAATGTATATGTAATGTCAGTGATGTAAATAATCTCAGAAAATGTGACGTCTGTTTGTCTTTGTAATGGCTTTGTGCATCATTAGAAATCTGCTAATGAAACCTATACGGAATAAGCAGAATGGCTGATACTATTGCTACTACTACAACTACTACCGCTACTAATACCGTATTACTAATGCTAATTCAATAAGAATATTATAAGTCCAGTGATAATAATAAGTACTATTGTTATTACGGTAATTACGCTATTAGCATTGTTAGCAACTATTTAAAAGCATTACAATTTGTTGGGTTTTTTTTTTTTTTCAATTTTTTCATTTTATTTTTGCCACCTTTTCCGAGCTCTCCTCCTTAACTGTTAAGACAGTTAAACACGTTACAATCCTCAACTCGTGGGTCTCCGCAACACACTCTCAGACAGACACACTCGCAGCCATGTGTGGTCTCATTAGGTCGGATCTTTGGGTTTAATTAATCACTAACGGAGTGCTTAATTCATCTGTAATTTTTGCAGAGTGCAGTTGATTATTTCAGTATTTCCCTCTTGCCCTGTTGAAGTTTTTTGATTTCCTTGTCTTTCTTAATCCCCCGTTCGCCATCTCTTTTGCTCCCTCTCCCTCTCTCTCCCTCTCTCTCTCCCTCCCACACACACACACATTCGTTTCTGAAATAACCCCTCTCTTCCCTCTCATCTGGTATAATGGCAGCTCATCAGGAGCTCACAGACAATCAGCCGATGGAGGACCCTTGACTCCCTTCTGAGGGTTGTGATTACAACAGTGGCAGATGCTCTAAGTTATTGTCCCCGGTATCAAGTGGATCTGCTTCATGTACCATTATGGCCGGCTAGCACTGCTACATGTTGTTTTCCTTCTAGACAGAAACTGTAGGAGTCCATAGCGTCTTCATCAATCATTTTCCTATATCGTACAATTAGTGGCGGTTGATGTCTGTTGCCTACCGTGTGTGCCTGTCTGCAGCTTTTTCTTATGGGTTCCACTGGTCCAGATTTACTCCTGTTAGAGGTCAAGCTTGTTATTTAAGGTCATATGTTGCTGCGAGCACTGGAGTTAAAATGTACGAGTTGATGATTTTTACCATAGATTTGCAGACAAGTTTTTTAAATGCTCATCGTCATCATCATCGTTTCTGAAATACTGAAACTTTATGGAAGACAAACACTCATAAAAAAAATGCTTTTTCTTCGGTCCTTTTGAAAAGGTCCACGATCCATTTTATTGCCATAGAGAGGAAAATAATCTAGAGCCTCTATCTAATAAAAACTCTCAGAAATTTTTATTTGCTTGAATGGCATCTCCTGTGTACCAGTCAAGCAAGTAAATGTTTTGGGTTTTTTTTTTTAAGATACGAGCGTCTCAACATACGGGTGTTCCGAGATACGAGCAAGCCTTCGTGCAAATGTTTGCTTCCAGATACGAGTAAAGATTTGAGATACGACGACGCTTACTGACCGCCGGCGCTAGGTCGACTTCCGTAAGCATCTAGAACGTAGCGTTATCTACGTGATTTTCTCTCTATTTTTGTGTCTGTCTCTATAGCCATTAAAAACAAACGTGTTTTTTCCATTGTTATTAGCACTAATTTTTTAAGAGGGCCGGAACAGATACATTTTCTTTCTGTTATTTCTTACGGTGGGAAAAAAAAATGATTCAAGATACGAGCACCTCGAGTTACGAGCTCGCTCCCCGGCAACGGATTATGCCCGTATCTCGAGGTTCCACTGTATTCGAATCTGGGTGTTACCACCACAGCTCCACTCTCCACCCTGTAGTTTTTTCCTCCTCGTACTTCAATAACTTTAGGGGTCGTCTGTAATTCCTCATGTGACTCTGACATTGTTATAAAATAACTTTATTTTCTCCCCCGAGAAAAAATCTCACAGTTACAGCTGATTTATGGTGATCAACTGTTCGCAAACGTCGGCGCGATTTACAGATGAGCTCTTTTATCTTAGGAGAAGAGTGACTCGTCGAAAAAATGAATTTGCTTTTTGTGTATCATTTGTTAATGACGTGGCCTCAAAGATCGCAATTATTCCCTTAAATGCATATTTGTGTGCTTACTCATTTGATAAATTATAAATCTTTTTTTTTTTTTCTATATCTGCAAATCAATTAATTTTTAATTTTTTAGTACTTTATATTCAGTTAACGCGCCACATTAATCCTTATTCAAACGCACAGTTACCCTGCAATGCGCCTGACTCACACAGGAGGAGCCGACGATCGTAGTTCGCGGCCCGGATTCGGATTAGCGTTGACTAGCTTTTGAAGACGCGCCTGCGTTTCCGTAAAAACAGTTGAGTTTTATTCACTGTGTGTTGTTTAAATTGAATCCTCTCTGTGTGAATGGCCGTTAGGATACGTGTGTGTGTGTATATATATGTGTGTGTGCACATGCTCACTCTGTATGTATGAGCGTAAGAGTGCCGTGAACTCAGAGAGAGGGGGGGGCAAAAAGTGTCTTTTTCCCAGGAGTGGTCTGCCAATCATTTTCTCAGATTTAGCGAAAGGGGGAAAAAAAAAAAATCTAGAAGGGGAGGGGAGGAGACAATAGAGGAGAAGAAGAAGAAGAAGAAAGAAGGAAAAAGAAAAGAAGAAAGTCTCCCTGTAGAATCACTAAACAGACCTTCAGTGATCCGGTAGAAAGGCCTGGAGCTGAATCCCAAGTATGCTGTGCACAGTTAAATATCCACCCTGGGAATTCTGAGCTTTACCACGTTATTGATTTTAATCATCTCTTAAAAGCCCAGACTTTTAAGAAATAAATAAAATAAAACGCGCCCTTAAGAGTAAAAAGCAAATGGGAATGTTTTAATCCTGGAGAAGACGGCGTTTCTTTGTATCCTTTCTCGTGTCTTTTCCACCAAACACGGACGCATGCTTTGGATCGGAAACCTAG